ATATATATATATATATATATATATTCTCTTTTAATTTTTAATTATTGAGAACAAATTTACTTATAAATAAACTAATTTTTAGTTATAAATATTCATTTTTATTTACTTTTTTCATAAAAAGTTTTATAGAAAAGTTTGTCGAGATATAACCTAATCATATAAGAAATTTAGGATGAGAAAAAGGACATTCGAAATCATAGAAATTTATAAATGTACATTTAGGCAATCTGTAGTGAATTATGAAATATAGGATCATAATGATATTGATGTTCCATAGTATCTTCGGTACATTGAAAAGGAAATATTATTACATCCAGATGAACCAAGACACCCAGTGGTGGTCCTACTGTTGATTGGGACATAAAGAAATAATGAACAATAAAATACATAATCTTTGTATTAAGTTTGACCTAAACTTATTTGTTTCCATGTTTTAGTTTACTCATTAAAAAAATTTATTTGTACAAATTTTATTTTATATTTTATACTGAAAAACTATCTACTTAAATTCTTTATATTTTTTTATCTTTTTAGTTTTTATTTAAATCTCTTTTAGCTTCTCTCATCTAAATTTATAGATATTAAAAATGATAAGAAATAAAATGAATGATTTGTATGTAGAACAAGCAAAAGCAAAAATTTGCTTACTATAAGCACTGAATGATAGACTAAACATTATTTCGTGGTGAATTTTAAGTGGTACTTATGAATCTCATGCATAAATATGGTCAAATTATGGTAAATGTTTGACATATAAGTTAATTTTCGAAATCTCTTGATTTATTTGGTTTTGAGATGTGTTTACTGTTACATAACACATTAAATTCAAGTTCAAGTTTTTTTATTTTTTTCACAAATATTGATATTGATTTAGTTGTAGTTAATTTTATGAGTTTCGCTACCTTCACCACCATCAAATGCTTCCTTCACCACTCCATACCTAATTTGTCCTTCTAATAAAACGGATGTCAACATCCGTTTCACCTTCAACGGATGTCAACATTCGTTTCACCTTTCATATCCATCAACGGATGTCACCAAATCCGTAAACTAAAAACTTAAAAAATAAAATAAAAAACTTAACGGATGTAACGAATGTGCACATCCATTTAACTAATTATATAAAAAATATTATAATAATTAATTAAATAATAATATATAAATTAAATTAATAATAATTATTTTATTAAATAAAATAAAATTAATTTATATATAATTATATAATAAATTTAAAATTAAATTAAATAATATTTATATATTAATTTTAAATATAATAAATTAATAAACTTTAAAAAAAACCTACTATGACACATCCGTTTAATTAATAATATGAAAATATTATAATAATTAATTAAATAATAATATATAAATTAAATTAATAATAATTATTTTATTAAATAAAATAAAATTAATTTATATATAATTATGTAATAAATTTAAAAAAAATAAATAATATTTATATATTAATTTTAAATATAATAAATTAATAAACTAAAAAGTAAAAAAAAACATTAACGGATGTGGTCACATTGCACATCCATTTAACTAATTATATACAAAATATTAATTTAATAAATGAAAAACTAAAAAAAAAAACTTGAACGGATATAGTCACATCCGTTAGCGGATGTAACATATCCATTGAAGTATTTTTTCTTCAACAGATGTTGACATCCGTTGAAGAAAAAATGTGGAGGTATAAGATACTTTAAAATATAAAAAATAGTTTTTGAATTTTTAAAAAATGTGGTGGTGCAAGGAACAATATGGGGTGGTGTAGGGAGTAACTCTCTAGTTTTATTTGTGTAAGTGTAATGATATACATTAAAAGTTGAGAGTTACTCCCAACACCACCACACATTGCTCCCTGCACCACCACACTTTTTTTAAATTTCAAAACTATCTCTTATATTTTAAAATATCCTACACCTCCTCCTTTTCTCTTGAATGGATGTCGACATCCGTTGAAGAAAAAATTCTTCAACGGATGTGCCACATCCGTTTAGTTTTTTGTTTTTTAAGTTTTTAATTTTTTTAAATTTTTAAATTAATATATAAATATTATTTAATTTTTTTAAAAATTATTACTTAATTATTTATAAATTAATTTTATTTTATTTAATAAAATGATTATTATTAATTTAATTTATGTATTATTATTTTAAATAATAATTAAAATATTTTTTAAAATTTTATTAAAAGGGATACGGATGTGGTGGATGTGGATGTTACCACATCCGTGAAGGTTTTTTTCTTTTTAAAGTTTTTAGTTTTTTATTTTATTATATTTTAAATTAATATATAAATATTATTTTTTTTTAAAATTATTATTTAATTAATTATAAATTATTATTTTTATTTAATAAAATAATAATTATTAATTTAAATTATGTATTATTATTTAAATAATAAAATAGTTTTTAAAAATTTATTAAAATGGATGTGACAACTTGATGGTTCTATGGCGAAGCGGATCTTTCAACTTGAGCCCAAACCTTACATGGACAATAATTATGTGGTCAAAGGATGATGGTTCTATGCTTCCTCCACCCCCATAATTCTTAAGCATGCACCTCCCTTTTCAAATTGCATATTCTAGAAACTATAGGAGTTTTTAAAATTTAATCCAAAAGGTAAAAAAGCAAATTAACTATAACAGTGATCCCATTGTTTAGGAAAAAGAAAAAGAAGTTCTTTTAGAAGAAGAAAACTTCCACTGTCAAGTGTTATTGACAAAAAATGTATGTGTCTACTACAAGAAGGACTAGAAACCAATACTGAATTAGAGATTCAATAATTCTCATATATAGTTAAAATCGCTGATGGTAAGTTACAGGAACCTGATGGTGGTTTAGTAGAAGTTGAAATACCCAAACAATTTCTAATTAATACTAAAATAATATAATTTACTTTTCATTACTTGTTATAAAAAATAACTACCGCATGATTAATTATTTAATTTCTTTCATATTTTTAAACTCTTCATTTAAATATCACGTTTATAATTATAATTATAACCCTTATATATAATTATGTAAATGTTTATTTATTTAAATATAATAATAATTAGCAAATAAAAAAAGAAAAAAAAACAACTACCCGTACGCACACACTAGTTATCATTATTAGTTGTCATATTCATCGAAAACTATAAAAAAGAAAAAAAAAAAAAAAAGAAACAGCTCCTACACTCGAATATGGATATTGTGGAACAGTTGAACCGTGAAAATGTACTCTACATAAAGAGGGTATGAAGTATGAAGGTTTCACAGAAATCATATAATACAAAAAATTTAGTATTCATGGCAATGCAGCATAACATAACCTAACACATCATGCATGATATACAATTATGCCTGCAGCCATGTACTACCCCATCTTCTTAGGCTGTAACAGTTTTTGTTTTGACTCCAATTTTTTTCCAAGACACACTAGGCATAATTTGTTTAGTGTCAACACGGTCCTTGTACTGAACAGCGAAGTTCAGCACTGAATCAAGGAGAGAATCTGAAAGAAAGTGTGGTTTGAGTCCCAGATCAACAAGTTTAGTGTTCTTGCAATTGTAGTAATGCTCTTCTGCCTCAACTCTTGGATTAGGCACATGGATAGTTTTCACATCAAGGCCCAGCTTCTCACCAGCTTTGTTAACAAGGTCGGCAAGCTGATTCACTGAAAACTGCTCAGTGAATTGGTTGAAGACTCGGAACTCCCCTGGCTTCGCAGGGTTTGCAATAGCAAGCTCAACACATTGAACTGTATCTCTTATGTCAAGGAAGCCCCTAGTCTGAAATATGTGTATTATAATATACAGACAAAAAATTAGCATCAGAGAATTCAGAAGTTCTCCTATAGCCAGATGATCAGATCAATACAACTAAGTTAGGAGAGAAGTGTAAGAAAATAGAGCAACAGAAGAATCAAATCCTGTTGTTAAAATCTCAGCGGAACAAGGTGCAAAAGGCAGATAAAATCAACATTAGTAATGTATAATATTTGCAAACACTGTTCACGGTTACTATCAATGAGTCTCCAATATCTAGATTTTGTTGCAATATGCATAACTTGAGGTTACCAAGAAGCATAAAGCAGGACTTGTTTAATACAGTTACCAGTAAGTTTCAAAGAAAAATGTGGAACTACATCTATACTCTTTGATTCTTCTCAGTGGTCTAATAGACAATACATTATACATACAATATAAACATGCCCCAGTTGAAATATTGTCAAATCCTTCCATAACAATCATCAAAAGTCACTCTTCTGCATATCAATAACAAATAAACATAATAATGTGGGTATGTTACCTGGCCTCCTTTACCATACACAGTCAGAGGATGACCAACAGCAGCCTGAACACAGAACCGGTTTAATGCAGTTCCAAATATTCCATCGTAATCAAACCTGTTTTACAGCTCTTCATGCAGTGCAGTCTCATCTGTCCTTACCCCATATACCACTCCTTGATTCAAGTCAGTTGCTCGAATGCCCCAAGCTTTGCAAGTGAAAGCTATGTTATGTGAATCATGTACCTTGCTTAGATGATAGAATGAGCTAGCTTGTTTGGGATATGGCAACGTGTCTGTTCTTCCATTGTGAGTAATGGTAATGTAACCTTCCTCAATGTCAATATTTGGGGTCCCATATTCACCCATGGTCCCAAGCTTAACTAGATGACACTGCTCTCTGAACTCTTTTATGGCAAAGAGCACATTCAGTGTCCCAACAACGTTGTTTTGTTGGGTATACACAGCTCTTGACCGATCTATCATAGAGTAAGGAGCAGACCGTTGTTCCCCAAAGTGGACAACAGCATCAGGTTCAAATGTCTTGAAGGTTTCAGATAAGAACTCAAAATCACATATGTCTCCAATGTAGAGCTCAATATTTTTTCCAGTGAGAGATTTCCAACACTGAAGACGATTCTGGATGGAGGAAATTGGTGTTAGAGACTCCAGTCCAAGCTGGTGATCAAAAAGGCGTCGCACAAGACTGTCAACAATGGCAACCTCATAGCCCTTGTTAGAAAGGTGGAGAGCAGTTGCCCAACCACAGTATCCATCTCCACCAATGACCATGACTCTCTGTGGTTTAAAAGGATTACCAGAGCTAGTTTGAACTGGGGTTTCCTGGCTAGTTGAAACTGCAGCAGCATGTACTGATAGAGAATGTTTTCTTAGCTTCTGTTCTTGCAAGAAAAACCCTCTAGATGAAGGTTTAGAATTATTGGAAGAAACCGCTATTGAAAATGGTGTCGAGCATTGCTTAACAGGTTTTAAGTAAGGTTTATTTCTAAAGCAGATAGTCAAGGAGTAAGAGGATGATAGCAATTGAGCCATCTCAATCAGAGGATCCTCTAACTACTTTCAGCACACTCCTGAAACAAGAATTAAAAACCCATCACTTGCATTTCACTTTGAACAATACTAAAACACTTATTTCATCAAGCAAGTACTAATTATTCAAAGACTCATCAACATTATTTCCAACATTGTGAATCAAAAGCAAGCAATCAAGAGTGAATACTTGTAATACCAAGAGCATACATCTATACATAATAAATCTAATAAAAATCAACAAAAGGAAAGGAATAAACCCACTCAGAGAAATGGACAATAAGTGTATATATAAATTATTTTAGTTAAGAAAAAAAGACAGGAATACCAACTGGCTAGGGTATCACATCACAGTGAAGAGCTCAAATCACTCATATTTCATGACCTTAAAATATTGAACACCATATTCCCAAAGCCCTGCCTGGTTTGTTATAATCTTTTGCAAAAGAGGATAAAAATGATTTCCATTAATAAAAATCCATTCATTTGCCTTGCACTTTGGTTTATAACAGAGCACACAGTTCATCAAGCAAGTAATTATGATTCACTGTGTCATTAACCCAATTTCAAGCTTTGATGGATCAGAAAAACGTGACAAGAGAAACAGAAAAAAAATTGAATTTCACAAGCAGGCATCAACACAATACGAAACAGGGTGAATTAGTAGGGTGTCAGTAGCAAATTACTACAAAGAGCACTTCAAGTTGTCACCTTTCACCCACTCTAAAGATACTAACAGTCATTTAACTCACGCCCACATCAAAATGTAGAAAGATGGAAACAGAACATAACACCCCATGCAATAAAAACGGAAATTGCAAAATGGTAAGTGATTGATTTGATTACCTTGAGAGAAATCGAAATCAGTGTAAAATGAAGAGGAACTCAGAAGGGTGAAGTGGATTTGACTCTGGTTATGGTTGTGGATAAGGGTAGAAGCCGCTGTCTCTGCAACTGCAGTGTTTGGGTTTGGGAATCAAAAAGGGTGAGGAGGAATATCCCTTACTTCCCTTTTTCGAGAGCCCCTAGCTACAGGGTTTTATGCCCTTTATCAAATCAGACCAAAATAAACATAATTCGAAAAATCTTATAGTTGATGAATATACTAAGTCTTTTATGCTCAAATTCGTGTTTTAGTAGGAAAAAAAAATACACAATTTAAAATTAACTATCAATTGTACTGATCTATTGAGTTCAATTAGTTATAATTATTAATACAACCTATAAGTTATGGAAACACATCAGTAAATTTGTTTTAATCAAAATTTGTAATAAACTAAGGTCAACTATATAATTATGTAAATCTGTAAGTAGATCTCTAGTATTTGCCTAGAATCGGAACCTTATAATGAAGATTATATCATCACATAATATGGGAAATAAAACACAGTTATATGAATCAAATTAAAAATATATAGTTGTAATTTAAAACACATTACCGACATATATATGTTAAGCGTATTTAAAAACTATATATTTTTTTATCTATAATTAGTTCATTTAATTAATTAAGTACAAAGAAAATAAAGTCTCAAGAGTTGATAAAATGTTTAAATAATAAGACTATGTTATTTTAATTGCCAAATTATCTGTTTGAAAATTAGAGAATGTTTATGTGATCACGACAACAAGATCTTCATTTGCATATGATCATTTTTTTCAAAAGAGTAAATTAGTTTATGTTCTTTTCTTTAGCTTTTTATTTTC